CCGCGGTAACTTCTGTATAAATTTGCTGGTAACTTACGCACCGCATATCTGATAACTCACGTACAAGCATCATGGGGATTCTGGGAGATCATCAACGTTTCTTTGCTGTTAAAATATAAGATCCAATAAATTACACGCCAACACCGTGGTAACCTTTTTTAACATGAAAAAAATTGATACTCCCTCCAGTCGTTTTTACTTTGCACATTGGATTTGCCGAAAGTCAAACTTAGCTAAGTTTGACCAAATTTATATTAGAATTTATTAGCATCTATAATATCTAATAAATATAATATGAAAATATATTCCGAGATGAATCTAATGATATTGGTGTTGTTATGTAAATGTGAACAATTTTTTATATAAACTTGGTCAAAGTTGGATGAGATTGACTTCAGATAAACCTAATATGCAGAGTAAAAAGGACCAGAGGGAGTACAATATACCCCTAATTTATTCTGTGTGAATAGCAAGGTTTCGATCGCACAACCCCGTACGCCAGCTCAGCCCACGTCCAGATCGGGATTGAAAACGTAATTGTCTAAAATGTGACTCGAATCCACTACCCTACAATGTAGCAACAATGTACTAACCAACTCACCCTGCCTTGATTGTTGTCCAATAAGTAGAAATATGATAGTTAAACTTTATTTCACTTTCATATGAGCCAAAAAGCATTTTTTTTCTTCTTGTGTTTTTTTGGATTTCTCAAGTTGTCTTGTAGTCTCTCATATACCAACGGTTTGTATACCTTATCCATGTATCCTCATTGTAAATATCATGACAACTTTACATGAGGGATTTTTTGGGTTGAAACATACCCCGATAACTTCTGTGTAAATGGCATGGTAATTGATGTACCGTGACCCGATAACTTACTTGTAAATGTCATTGTAACTTCGACCGTGGGTGAAAAAATTATTGAAACATCTCCCCGGTATTTTATGTGTAAACAACACGATAATTTCTGCATGGCAACCCTGATAATTTAGGCACAAACACCATGGTAACTTTGACCTGAAGGGAAAAAGTTGTCAAAAATATACCCCAATAACTTCTGTATAAAACATCATGGTAATAACGCATCATATACATGATAACTTGGACCCCAAGGAAAAATTGTTGAAAAATATAACCTCGATAATGTTTGCGTGAATATCATGGTAATAGAAGCACTGTATACCTGATAGTTAGGTGAACCGGGGG